CACCTTATCCCTAAGGGAGACACCAGCCACCCTGCGGAGAAAACCCATCTCGGCCGCTTGTATCCGCGATCTCGTTCTTTCGGTCATGACCCATCCTTCATGACCATAGGTGAGGGTAGGAACGAAAATGGCGCGGTAGACAGAGAGCTTTGCCTTCTGGCTCAGCTCCCTTTTCGTCACAACGGTGCGGTAAAGCGACTGCAGTACCGCTCCCGCTGCTCCGATTCTCCGACCCATCTCACGCTCCGTTGTTCCCTCACTCGAGAACAAGACCCCGAGATACTTGAACTCCTTCACTTGGGGTAAGGACTCATTCCCTACTTGGAGTGGACAGTCCATCGGTTTCCTGCTGAGAACCATGGCCTCAGATTTGGAGGTGCTGATCCTCATCCCAGCCGCTTCGGTTGCGAACCGATCCAGTGAGTGCTGAAGGTCGCAGACCGATGAAGCCATCAGAACCACATCATCTGCAAAAAGCAGTGGTGCAATCCTTAGTCCACCGAACTGCAGACCCCCTCGCCCACGACTACGCCTCGAAATCCGATCCATGTATATTACAAACAGGATTGGTGACAAAGCGCAGCCCTGGCGGAGGCCAACCCTCACCGGAAATGGGTCCGACTTACTTACCACGTACACTTATGAGCATCCTTATGTTCGAACATGGTGTTTGTTATGGCCAATCCATGACTAGCACAGAAGTCCAGTAACAAACCACCACTCCGGAATTTAGTCGTTGCTGGGAAATTTGAAATATGTTAACATAGATGCATTAGAGTGAAAATGAGATGTAAGGTTCATGTGAGTGTTATACATGTGTATACATGTGGATAGAACCAGTGGTATCCAAATCTTGACCCTTTGAAAGTAAAGCATTGCAACCTATGTCAAAGACGTCACATTGTTTCTACGTGTTGTAAGCTGCGCAACAGAAGAGTTATTCTTCCTCCAATTGTTTCATTTGAATCTTTTTAGAAGCTCAAAAAGAAAAAGTCATTATATATTTTACAAGCACATAGAAAATAGAAAAAGGAGCCAGAACAATTTACCTTATTGTGTGCTGAAATCAGCATTTTCTTCTCTCCCATCCCATTAATCATCTCACACCCTCTTATATTTATCTTGCATCCTGTTGCACGATCCCTGCGCTGGGACTTTTAGCGGTTCCAAAGTAAACCTATTCGGAGACCCCGGATGATTAAAGACAAAGTATTTCTTTCTATTGTTTTTCTTGTGAAATACAGAATGTTTATATCTGTTCCAGGCATCTGGAAACAGAGAAAAAAACATCTGTGCTTTGCTTGCATTTTACAATTCGGGACAATAAATATAGTTTTTGTAACTATAACAATTCGGTCCTTTTGTGTATTGTTGTTGGATGCTGCTGAATGCAATTGTTTATTTGCTTGTCCCACTCACGATGATCTCTGTTGTGATTGGCAGGTTGGGGCTCTAGCTAATAAGGAGGACTGTTTGTCGGGAAAGTATACATCCATCGGAGAATGCTGTAAGCAGTGTCTGCCCGGGGAGGGCGTCAGCAGGCGCTGCGGACACGCGCAGACCGGCTGCACCGCCTGCCTGGACAGTGAGTAACACAAAAAACAGCTGTCACACACACACAGTCACACACTCTGTCCCTCACTCATGTCATGTATTCCTTTCTGTCCCTTCCCCCAAGCTTCATGAACATCAGGTTGAGAAATGTTTCCCAAATTCCTACTGATGGACAAACAGACAAAGCCGGAAAAAAAGGAGGCTATTAAAATGCCTTCTGTTTTTTCCCAGTCAAACAAATAACACTACACATGACACCAACGCACTAAAAATTGAGAGCAAGAAGACAGCAGACTTGCAATTGAGCATGCACTGTGATCACTCTCTGCAAAAGGCACTTAAGAAAGTATGTCTGAGGCTAATGAGAATGACATTGGTTTAAAGAAGATTGGTTACAAATTGAAGAAATTACATTTTTACCTGTATATGGCGCTGAATGGAAATGGGATCATCCAAGGTCATAAAGTCCATTGTCTCCTTTTATGGCAATCAATCCAGGAGTTTTTATTTTTTTAAAGGAGAAGAAATGAGCTTGATGGAATGTCAGAGGATCATCAAAATCATTTCATTGAAATCCATCTGATCTTAGATATTGTCGAGTTTTCACCAACTGCCTGCAATTGCCTCTGGTGTGGATAAAAACAGATCCCAGTTTTTTTAATTACTAAACATAATACACCTTAAAATCAGTTTGGATCCATTATTGTGCAGATCTGAAATGTAAATCCTTAACTTATTGAGCTAGACAGCAGGAAGAAAAGATGCCGGGCCTATCTGTGGTCCAGCATTACTGCCCTCTTCCTGACCCTTACCATGTAGGGAGTGAAGCTGTGCTGGACCGTAAGACTTTATGAGGACACCGATATTGAGAGGATTCAAGAGGTGGACCAGCTAGAAAATGTTGTTGGAGTTGAAAAGCATCAGACAAGTTGTTTTGGCACTGGGATTAAAACGCATCGTTTGTAAACTGCAGACCAAAGAGCCCAAATGGACATAGAGGTATATTTCTGCTTGAGCGCAAGGGAAAACAAATCAACAGTTCTAATGTGAGAACAAAGGTCTTTTAAGCCTGAAGAGGCCAGGGTTGGTCCTCAGCCAGTTCCTGAACTGTTCCCACAGTTTTTCCTCTCATGAATTCCCTGACTATCCTGCGTCGAGGCGAGGAAGTGGTTATCAAAAACCCTGGGTCAGTGAAGGATGGGAAACCCTGAGCTAAGGACCCTCTCACTCAGAGAAATATTGAGACGTAAGGTCATGGGAGAAGCCATGATAAAGACATAGAGGAATCATTTATATTTTCATTTGGAATGATTTATAATTTTAGAAGAAGTGTGTGTCAGATCAGGAGTTACATCATTATAATATATTGTTGCCTTGTAACGATATAAAGAGACAGAAATGTACAAATTGCTACAGAACCAATTCAAGGTTTAAAGTTATTTTAATAAAGACATTAGCTGTGTCTCTGTGGTTGCAGCTCTGTGTTGCACAACATGAAGGCTCACAGGGTGATAAATCTCACTCCCTCTCCAGTGCTTGTTCTGCTCAGACAGGAACAAACACAGACTGTGGCAGGCTCTCAAAACTGTCACGAGGCCAGACACGCTCATGGAAAAAGAGAAATGCAAAGCAGATAGAGCTCTCCACCAGAAACATCCTAATGATATTTTAAAAACAGGACAAACATATTGATTTCATCAGTAATGCAAGCTGATGGAGCTGCAGTGCGAGTATGAAAAAGCATTACAATAACAAGACTGAAACATTAGTCGGTTGTTTGTCTATTGACAGTTAACTTATTGACCTTACCCCATTATTACTGCAGGACTTGACTCGTTTCACTTTGGGTACAAGGTCTTTATTTGGTTTTCCAATACAAATAGTAGTGCCCAAGTCTAGACCTCATTATCAGCTGATCACTTTTGCACTGACATGTGAAAGTGCATCTTCAGCAGACCTCGCTGAATCCGTTCATCTTATTCAAACGGAGGAACGCCATTTCTCTGCATGTTCAGCGTAGTTACAGCATAGGTTTACAAGCAGCCATTCTTTCAAATCTGGGTTGAGGAATAAAAATATTGAATCACTATTGTCATATGGCAGCTTGGCTTTTAAAAACGGATTGATTGTGCAAGTTGTATCCTGACAAGTATCTCTGACCAATCAGTGGGCTGCAGCATTTTAAAGGCACTTCTATTGACTTAGCTTGCTTAAAACGTCAACTCTCAAGCACCAGGTAGTAATCACAATTTTGCTAATGGAAAGCCAAAGCAGGGTTTAGTATCATGTGCTATGCAGTGGACGTGCTTAGAATAGCTTAGCATGTAGGTTACAGTTTGTGTATAATCATATATGTAGTACGTAAACTGCATACAGTGGGGCAAAAAAGTGTTTAGTCAGCCACCAATTGTGCAAGTTCTCCCACTTAAAAAGATGAGAGGCCTGTAATTTTCATCCTAGGTATTCCTCAACTATGAGAGACAAATGAGAAGAAAAAAAAAAATCCAGAAAATCACATTGTCTGATTTTTAAAGAATTTATTTGCAAATGATGGTGGAAAATAAGTATTTGGTCAATAACAAAAGTCAATCTCAATACTTTGTTGTATACCCTTTGTTGGCAATGACAGAGGTCAAACGTTTTCTATAAGTCTTCACAAGGTTTTCACACACTGTTGCTGGTATTTTGGCCCATTCCTCCATGCAGATCTCCTCTAGAGCAGTGATGTTTTGGGGCTGTCGCTGGGCAACACGGACTTTCAACTCCCTCCAAAGATTTTCTATGGGGTTGAGATCTGGAGACTGGCTAGGCCACTCCAGGACCTTGAAATGCTTCTTACGAAGCCACTCCTTCGTTGCCCGGGCGGTGTGTTTGGGATCATTGTCATGCTGAAAGACCCAGCCACGTTTCATCTTCAATGCCCTTGCTGATGGAAGGAGGTTGTCCCCACGGGGTGAGATCTTGCGTGGAGCCCCAGATCGAGGGAGATTATCAGTGGTCTTGTATGTCTTCCATTTTCTAATAATTGCTCCCACAGTTGATTTCTTCACACCAAGCAGCTTACCTATTGCAGATTCAGTCTTCCCAGCCTGGTGCAGGTCTACAATTTTGTTTCTGGTGTCCTTTGACAGCTCTTTGGTCTTGGCCATAGTGGAGTTTGGAGTGTGACTGTTTGAGGTGGTGGACAGGTGTCTTTTATACTGATAACGAGTTCAAACAGGTGCCATTAATACAGTTAACAAGTGGAGGACAGAGGAGGCTCTTAAAGAAGAAGTTACAGGTCTGTGAGAGCCAGAAATCTTGTTTGTTTGTAGGTGACCAAATACTTATTTTCCACCATAATTTGCAAATAAATTATTTAAAAATCAGACAGTGATTTTCTGGATTTTTTTTTCTCATTTTGTCTCTCATAGTTGAGGTATACCTAGGATGAAAATTACAGGCCTCTCTCATCTTTTTAAGTGGGAGAACTTGCACAATTGGTGGCTGACGAAATACTTTTTTGCCCCACTGTATATGCTCTTAAAGATGCATCTTCGTTCTATGCAACTTCATTTTCACTCTGATGTGAGTAGAAACTATTTATATTTGATGTCTGACAATCTTTCTTGCTAATTATCTTTCAACATCAACTCCCACTCATGTTGTTTCAGGCCTGCTGCCCACAGTTGATAGGATCATGCATTTATAAGAGACAGACTGTTGGTGTCCAGACAGTGTACAGGCTTCATTTAGTACAGATAGCTAACAGGGGCCGAGATGTACTCAAAAGGAGGGTCTGCTGAAACGCATGGAGGAGTTTGGATGAATGAACAGATGGTGGATATGAAACAGGGCATGTACAGCTGGAATATGGACAACTTCTCAGCCAACAGCTAATGGTTCAAACACAAACACGCAAACCTCCCACACATTTACTCAGCACACAGACACGGACTGACCTTATTTGTCTTTTCCACTTTCTCTTCCTGTCCTTTAGCATCACTCATTTACTAGAGACCACATAATCACCCAAGGCTCATCAATTCAGTTTATTAAAGATTATAACCAAAATACCAATGAATTGTACAAATATATATAGTACTTTAATTACAGTTTACACTCATTTATATCTGGATGTTATCCCTCTCGTCTAAATATGATTTTGAAGCATAAGAACAATTATCACTACATTTAATATACTGTCAAAGAGAAGCTCTAATCAAGCTTTAAAACGTGATTGCAAATGGCATGTAAATGATTTGTCTTCCTCACATTAATAAATGAACACACTCCCAATAAAATGGTGAGTTCCAAAACCCTTAAATGTGTCCCGTTCCCTCGTCTCAACTTTAGTAGGTGTTTTTTTACTGGTTTCTCGTTAGGATTTCTGGATACCAATGTTCTTTTGCAAATTTTCTCAAAATTCCATTAACATTTGAAAAAAAGCAATGGATGCCAACATTCTTTTTTCTGAATGTTTATGTTCTATGGGTGATGACAGATTAAAGTAAAATGTGATGACATGAATCATAACTTTAAAACCCTCATATACACACAACCTAATAAAGACAACCATCAAAACAGCACATCCTAATGAATTAACAATCAAGTACGGATCAAACCAAATGATCCCCTTAGCGATCATAATGCCAAACAAGAGATAATAAATCAATCAAGCCTGGATTAAATTGCTTAATTATTTATCCTAAAAATAGAGTATTAAAATACACTTTTCACACACATACACACACCCTGTGCTGTAGCCAGTGTATATAAAGTAAGGAGTCCTTTAAGGGTGTTAAAAACAAGTCAAGTGTTCTGGTTCAATATGCTGAGCCAGGAAAAGACTGTCTGTAAAAAGACTGCCCCCCTACCCCCCCTTAGTCGGGCCCCCACCCCCCTTTAGGTACCCCCCCTCCCCCCAATGCTCCAGGCTAGCGTTATTAATGTATTGACTTGCATTATTGATGCATGGCATTATGATAATGGCTCTGAGAGCATGCGTGGGGTGCGTAGGTGAGGGTAGTCTGAGGATGTGTGTCTGTTTGAGGAGTGGATGCAGGAGATAATGGGAATCGTGGGGGGGTGGAGAGGGGGGTGGGGGGTAACAGGTTAAGACTGAACCGCTGTTTGTCCTTAAAGACATAATTAAACAAAAGGATCCGCGATGGACCAAACCAATTTAGGATATGTTCATCTCAAATGACCCAGTTATGTCTTCAAGGACAAACATTGGTCTCTGTTTATCCGTCCTCATCTCTGGATTTAATCTCTGCTTCATCAGAGAGCTCGCCGTGGTTGGTGGGCCGGAAGCACACGCACTGACAACTTGATATGCCATGTGACAACTCCCTTTATCTCCTAACACACTCAGTTTAGTTGGGTTGGGTTTAAACTGAAATTAAAAAAATAAGTAGACTAAAAAAATGATTTAGTACCAGCTGCTAAAATGGGTTTCCTTGCAACTTATTACAAAACAAATCTAGACTGTTGGTTGGCACACAAGATATTTGAAGACACTTTTGGCCAATTGTAATGGACATTTTCCGACAAAAACAGTTCAATTTATCAGGAGATGAATTAAACCGCTCTAAAAAATGTAAATAATAGTTGCAGCACCAGTTTAGGTCAAAAATAGGTCTCTGTCTCAGCTTGCTTTTGAAATAGATTTTTGCAGAAATTTGAGGGTGTGGTTTGGTTTATGAAGTTGAAGAAAATGGTGAACCGTGAACTTTTCACACCTAATGACGGTATGTAAACAATTGTTATGTGCCAGTAATAATTCAAAAGTAAAATATATTAAGTTTAAGATCATTTAAAAAGTATTTCACTTTCGAATAAATGAAAATGATGCTTGTTAACAGTTTAGAAATACTGAAGAGATTTTGAGGTCATACTTTCACAACCCTCCCCCCCCCCACACACACACACACATACACACGCATCTATCTGTTGAATAATTTAGTGTGTTTCCCAGTTCCCTATCCAGCCGAAACACAATTCCATAAAACATGAAATATTGATTGCGTCCTCTGCAGATATATCTGTCAGGTAGATAGAGCATTTATGAAACACATTGTGATTTATGTACGAGCACCATCTGAAAAAGACAATGTTGCTGCATACTCATTTATTTTATATGAGTTATTGTAAGTGACCCATGCAGTTACATATCCACCACAGAGGATGACCCTTACACTGAATTCCCGTGTTACTGTGACTATGGACAGCTCAATCCCAAAGTGTCCATAGAAAGCATTTCCTAAATTTAGAAATAACAACTATACTTTTGCATAGATATGATCCAATTATAAACTAAACACTTTGCTTTTAAAAACAGAATATACACTTTGTTGACTCTAAAACTAAAGTAAAAGACTAAACTATTAAAACTGTAATAAAGGGAAACGATTTAATAAAAGTGGATAAGAAGTGTGTGAGTACCTAAATAAAGGCTTGAAGTGTTATACAAAGTATTTTAGCAGAAAAAGGAGATGTTAAATTAGTGGATAAAGGATTATTTATTAATACCAAGATGTTGAGATAAAAGCATGACAAATCATTTCCAGATCTGTAATCAGGTAGAAGGAAGAACACTTTAAAGTCAAAAGGAGTCAAATGCAAACATATTGCACTGGGATTGTGCTTTTCATCTATGCAATCACAATCATTTGAATATCACATTTTTCAACACACTTAAAATGACACAGTCTTCTGTCTAAATTGAAAATGAAAAAGAGATTCCACACTGGACACTGGAGTGACACCAACCATGTCAAAGTATTGTGCATATCAAGTATTGTACATGCTTTCAAAATGATGTCTGATGAAACAAAGGTCAGACTTCTGGCTGATAAAAACATTTCATGGCTGTTTTCTTCCCTCTCCTTTCAGGTGAAACCTTCTCAGAAAGCTTGAGTCACACAGAGACATGTCAGCCGTGCACAATGTGCTCAGGTCTGCTCCGCATGAAGTCGCCCTGCACAGACTCCAACGACGCCACCTGTGTCTGCAACTACAGCTACTACTTGAATACAATCTCTCAACAGTGTGAGCACTGCACAAAATGTCCTGAGGGCCAGGGGATGCTGTACAGCTGCGAGTTTGACCATGACACGGTGTGCGAGGAGTGCGAAGAGGACACGTACTCGGACCAGGAAAGCTCTCGGGAGCCCTGCATCCCCTGCACCACCTGCGATGAAGATATGCTGTTAAAGGCCTGCACTTCTACGACTGATACCGTTTGTCAAGGTAAGACAATTAGCTTTACAGATGCTCATAGTGAAATGTACAGTATATTACAGTATTATAAAATGATGCCCTGATTATTTAAAAACAGAGACATCCACATGGGCCTGGTTATATTACATTGAGTGTCTTTAACCTTGCTTATTTGCTGTTTTGACCAGAAGACAATGAGAAGAACGATACCACGAACAAATTAGTCTGGTAGTTCTGAAGGTACGGCCAGCAGCCTGTTAGCTTAGCTTAGCACAAAGACTGGAAACAAGGGGGATCAGCTAGCCGTGCTATTAAATACGTTGGGACCATCAACTGGTTATCAAAAAGCTTGGGGAAAAATCGTTACTATATTAATCTCTTTTGAATATCTGGCATTATCACTTAGTCCGTTAACAGTTTTCATCGTGGGTCCTTTTCAACATATTGAAAAAAATGTATATGAATATTTTCAGGCCTGTTAAAATCATTAAATCAATACAACAAGCTGGGGCTCCATTTAATATTTAAAGTATCCACGGCACAGTTCATTAATATGAACAGTAATTTGGAAAGCATTTGAAGAAGTCAATACAAAATTTGATAGCGATATAGTACGTCTCACAACTTTATATTCAGGTAAAACAAATCTGCATAAAAAAAATACAATAATACAATTGGTAAAATGAAGTATCACTTTAGATGTTCCCAGTGTATCTTTACATATTTTCCAACTTGTGTGAACCCGCACTTTAATATTAGCAATTCAGTTCAACACTTAACGCACTATAAACCTCATGCAGGGAGATGAATAAGGCATTCATGGGATTGTTTCACTCTGAGTTATGAGGTAAAGTGAAATTCTGCGGAACCTGATCCATCCATTTAACAAGGCACTTAATTCACTTGTTTGGAGATTTATTATTTATTGCTAAGATATTTAGCTAATGGCTTTGGGAGGACCCTATCAAAACACTTGGCAAGTTTACCATGAACTTCTGTGCAGGGGCCAGTAAAGTTGAATGATGGAGAGCATCAGCCGGGGTCATAATGGCCTGAAAAGGATTTATGTGAGCACATATTTTTCTGTACGGATAGTGAAACCACATAATCAACACTATAGACACTGTGGGCCCATGGACCTAAATGCCACGCCAAAGCTTGTCTCATTGTCTTCGTCGACTCATCCCATCCACAGACACAAAGACTACACTCTTTCTATGGAGAGGTTTAGAAGGAGGTCACATCTCTGAATTTCTTTTATTGCACAGCACCCTGTGTGTATCACAATCCTAATCACAAATTCCTTATGGCTGCAGTAACTTCTCATTCCAATGACCTGATGCCTTACAGATTAAATCAACGCTTTTGTGAAATGACAATAAAAGGAGTCTGTTGATCAGCCATGCCGTCTGTTGGGGCAGCGGTTTGGAGGACGTTGTTATCACAGTGTGAGAACAGAGCCAGTCTCAGGCTGAAGGGACTCTTTTGTGCCTCTCCCATGATCCCGTCTGCACTATCATGAGGCCTTTCAGTTTACCCCATGGGGCTACTTCAAGGAGCCAGTAATGAGTAAAACAGACAGTGAAACTTATTTAGATTTATCCTTCATATCTTTTTGTGACTGTCTCCTTCTGTTTTGGGAATGTTATGCTTCACTTTGAGCTATATCTAAGTCACACTAGAGCAGGGGTCAGGAACCTTTTTGACTGGGAGAGCCATAAAAGCCAAATATTTCTAAATATATTTCATTGAGAGCCATATAGTATTTTTAACGTATAATAAATTAAATATGTCTTACTTTTAATGCGACTTCTGGTGCTGCATGGTTTTGCTGATGGCCTTGTAGTCTGGTTCATACGTGGTGAGGTTGAGCTTCATGCAGGCGTTGAGGCTTCCATCAGTTAAACGTGAGCGTAGGTTGGTCTTAATGTTCCTCATATGCGAGAATGACTGCTCACATGCATATGTAGAGCCAAACATGGTCAATACGGCAATACTCACACGCTGCATTGTGTGGTATGTCACAGGAAGCTCGTTCCAAGTTTTAAGAATCAGCTGGTCTTCAGGTTGAAGATTTTTCATTTCTGTCCACTTGTGTTCCCTCGCCAGCTCTGCTCGCTGTCGCGCAAGACTTTCCAACTCTCCATTAAGTGACTTGAACTTACTCATCCACATGTCTGATGCCTTCAGGTCAGCAACTTCCAGCTCAAAGTCTCCGATAGAGACCCCGGGGATGCATGTCAGGTCGATTTTGTCCACTGCACACTCATGTGGATGAGTGATGAACTTGAAAAGACCAGTGCGTGCACGAAATTCTCCAAAACGTGCTTTGAATGACTGCAGGAGATTGGACGTAAAGCCAGCTAGCTGCTGGAGATCCAGATGTTGAGTGGAGTCACTTGCTAAGCATGCATCTCTAAATTGTTGCAGTCTTTCAAAGTGCAGAAGACGACCTGTTTCAATGTCCCTGAGAAAGACTTCCAGCTTGCTTTCAAATGCAAACACTGCTTGTTGAAGGGATGAGATTGTATTTCCAATACCTTGCATTTTCACATTGAGCTGGTTCAGATGGCCAGTTATGTCCACGAGATAGTGATACTGCAGGAGCCAGTCAGTGTTGTCTAGCTCATGATGCTTGACGCCTTTCATTTCAAGAAAAGTCCGGATTTCACTCAGGCAAGCTGCAAAACGGCTGAGCACCTTCCCCCTTGACAACCAACGCGCGTTGCTGTGTAAAAGCAGACCGGGATAATGATTCCCAACTTCTTCTAACAGAGCTTTAAACTGGCGATCATTTAAAGCTCGGGCAACAATAAAGTTGACCACTCGAATGACCAGCGACATCACCTCACCAAGAAAACTTAGGATGGCTCTCTTTTCATCCAAGAAAACTTAGGATGGCTCTCTTTTCATGTTCACGGAGAAGCGCTACAAATCCTTTGTTCTTCCCCAACATACAGGGTGCACCATCAGTACAGACAGAAATGAGTTTATCCATCGGTAGTTTTTTTTCTTTAGCAAACTCCATAAAAGACGTGAATAAATCCTCTCCTCTTGTTGTCCCTTTCATTGGCAAAACAGCCAAGCTTTCCTCACGCAGTGTGTCACCTGCAGCATACCTGGCAATTATACTGCACTGAGATAGATGGCTAACGTCTGTTGACTCATCTAACGCGAGAGAAAAGTATGTCCCGGCGTTTATGTCCTTAATTTGTGTTTCCTCGACTTGATTTTGCCATCATGATGCTACGATCGTGCACAGTTCTTGCTGACAGGGGCATGTCTTTTATTCGTTTGATTATCTTGTCTTTATTTGGGAAGTCATCAAACATTTCATTGGCCACATCAAGCATGAATGTTTTGGCATACTCGCCATCTGTGAATGGCTTTCCATTCCTTACTATTGCCAAAGCACCCGCAAAGCTAGTGGAATTCCCGTCACCTTGCTTGGTCCACACACGTAGTTGCTGCTGACTCGTCTGCACTCTCCGCTGTAGCTCCTCGCATGCCCTTTTCCTGCTGTCCCCCGCTGGATATTTCGATGCAAATTAAGCATGGTGCGTATCGAAGTGCCGCTTTATATTTGACCGTTTCATCGATGGAATTTTATCATTGCATATTAGACATACCGCAGATCCTGCTCTCTCCACAAATGCAAATTCCTCTGTCCACGCAGCCTGGAATGCACGGTAATCATCGTCTTTTTTTCTTTTCGCCATCTTTTCCGTTACAAGGGTTGAAGCGGATAAACTAGTTGGCTATCTGATCTGATCAAATTGATTTCTTCACCTTTACAATGACCCGGACATGCTCGCGAGCCATTGGTTCCCGACTCGACCCACGGGTGACCCGTGACCCGTGAAATGTATCTTCAAAACTAATTTCTGTTTACTTTAAAATTACACAGTATTATTAAGAAATATCACAAGTATTTTTAAATCAGTTCCAAACTGATTCTTTATTTTTTATTTTTTTTTTTCAACTCAAAATTGTCTGGGAGCCATATGCCGTCACCGGAAGAGCCATAGGTTCCCGACCGCTGCACTAGAGGATTATTATTTTTTTTTTAAACTATAGGGTCTACATCTTGCACATATCAATGGATATTTGCTGCTTGAGTTTGATGACACTGTATGGATAACATTTGATTTGAACCCTGCTATCGGATCTCAAAAGCTGGCTTAATTTCAACATGGTTGACTTCATTTTTAGGAGGGTCATGATACCAATTTACGTTAATGTTTGAATGATCAACAATACGGCTATTGTGGATCCATGTCAGAAATTTGGTTAGACTATTCTGGTTTTGCACACGGCTACTGTCAACATAGATAAACTGAGGTAAACTTGTACTATTTGTTATTGGAGTAAGAATATACTTGTTGTAGTTATAAGTACAGTGCTGTAATATTTGCAAACCTGAAAATTGCTCTCTCCCCTTTTCCCCATCCATCTGTTTAATCTAATAAAACCCCAAAAAATTAAATTGGGCCAAATGGCACTGCATCTCTCTCTTCTGCCAACATTTCTGAGGAAATGGTCGTATTGTTGGAATGTACTCAAGTAGGAAACTGACCGGAAACCGTCTGTATATTGCCTTGCAAATTTGACATTGTGTTACTAGATTTACTAACGTTAGTGATCCCAGTGATCCCACTACATGTCTTTGCAATTTGGAAATGGGCTTGTTCTATGTTTTACTGAGAGTTTGATGGACGGTTGATATCAGTTTGGGTTGTGTTCAATATAGAGACAGTCAGTTAAAGGTGTTGGGACACATTAGGCCTCTACCAAAAAAGATAAATGCCATTCCATTGAGAAGACGGACTTCTGAAGTTCTGCTGTGGCCAGGAAAGCTGTTTGTGGTCAGTAAATACAATAAGTCAGTAGACTCTGTAGAATAAACAACAGTGTCTGTACATATTTACTGTCTAACGATAGAGCTGAGCAAAGCAATGGAACAAATGTAATGAGAAATGGACCTAATAACTTTAGATTTCTAAGACTCGTGTTAATTTGAGTAATTGAAATGTTTTCGTGACTGATTAATCAAACTCTACAACATATAAGTGGTATATTTTGACTGTGCACATATTGATTAGACAAGTAGTGTGAGTAAACGCAACATGAACGATTAATAAATTGCTCAACGTCTGCCCAGCTATGTAAAAACCAGGGAAAGTCCCACAAACAGAAGAGGTTATTTATTAAGAAGAAGTGGACACACAACATGTATTGATGTTTTTCTACAAAGTGCCCCGCTTCTGTTAAAAACATCTTCCATTGAGGAGGATGCCTTAATGCAGCCTGATTCAACTTGTGGTTTGTCAAAGAAGCGTGATGGACAGAGATGATTTATCCAATATCAAGATATAAGAAGCCAGAGCTCCAATACTAAAACATCCTTAAGATAGCTAATACAGTATACTTCATGATGAATGTGACTTTGCTGTGATTCCAGGCACACGGCTCACTGTGTATGGGCTTCATCATCATATGTTATTGCTAACTTTAACCCAATCATATGCTCTTTATTTCTAATGTAATCTTTTTTGCCCAAGCACAAGCGTTATCAGCACTTACAAATCTGTAGTGCTGCCAGACGTCTTCATCCATTAGTGTTGTGGAGTCAGGCGACACAGGCATGAAGGCTAAAAGCAGTCAGGATGGTGGAGGGAGAGAGAGGAGAAGGCCATTGCCCGTGAACATACAAGTCGTAACATGAGATATTGGAAACATAGTTTAACTGAAGGTGGAGGAACCAGGACATCACCTTGACTGTACTGTAGGTTATCTTTAGATAGAAAGCTGGATTTCCTGCTGTTATTGTTTGGTTTATATTTGATTTGGCCAGTAGGGAAATCTCCCCTTTTTGTGGATACAAGCTCAGCTTTTAGGTGGGGTGAAAATTCAATTTCCCTGTTCTTTAAAATGGATTAGAGGTTTTTTTTTAGTCTTACGAGGAAAAAACACACTCTTCATCTCTGTGATGCTAAAACATGCTTATGTGGACCAGACTTTGTTACGTTATAGACCTACAGAGTTGAGGGTCTGAAGGCAAGATGCTTATCTAGTGTGTGATATAACTTCCCCTCTTCTAGAAGCCGCAAAGCAAGGTCAGAGGTTGAAGGTCAGGGAAGGATTGCAAGTGGAAAGGGGGTCTTTGTGGAAAGATCAGGCAGTATGAGTTTCCTCTGGGGATGTGTGCTAAACAGCGCGGCATAATCCCCCCCAATCCTTTCAGGGGTCACGACAACACGAGACAAGTGAAGTTGGTTAGCGCTCTAATTATACGCCCCCTCAAAGTGACATCTACCATGTTATCAAAACTAAGAGAAACCAATACTGTATGACAACTTTGACAGCAGGAAATTATGTATTTGAAACTGGAAATTACATTTTCTATTAACATGAGGAAATGTTATTTAATGAAGCTGGCGTTTCAAAATGTACCAGGACAATGTTCCCTGCTAATGTATTTGTTCTCTGCTAAAATAGTATAGCAACCACACCATTGAAAAATGTTGCACAATCTTTAGCTGATTACTTTTGTTCCCTAAACCTCAATCAAATGCAGGACTCTTTTCCCACAGTCATTACCTTTACACTTTCATGGTTTAATATATTTCAATAAAAAAACGATGTTTGTTAACCCAACACAATTGTGAAAAGTTCCTATATAAAGACTATTTGTAGGACACAGGGATGTAGGCAAGTCAGATTTTCAGAGTACAGAACAAAATATGAAACTGTTTTATAACATGACTTGGTAATTACTTGACTGATCGCAGGGTAATAACTGTCAATCCCAGAGAGAGATTCTTTAAAAATGCACTTTAAAAATGGGGTTGGCCAGCCACTGTCAACACACTGTGACAAAAGCCTTTCACACAATGATTGAAGTAGAGTGAGCAATGCTTGAGTTTGACAGAGAAGTCGCTGCCAGTTCTTATCAGTCTGAGGTTTGGCTATGAGCCCTCAAGGCTCGAGGAAACAGAGGTTTTCACTTGTTGACCCTGGTCCTCTTTGAGATTGTACCCAGGATTGACGCACATATTTGGCCTGACCTATCACCCAAAACCTGGGTTTCTGGCCCTTTGGCAGCAGGGGCAACAGGTTGAGGTTTGCAGTATGCAATAATTAGAATTATTCATGCACATACATGCACAACAAAGAGGTTACTCAAATATGAGTCACAAAACCACACCAGAGGCCATATGCAGACGGGCACCGATTCTCCTACGCACAGATTGAAATCAATATGATGACTTATTACACATAACAGATCTGAGACAGCATATGGAGGATGAAGGTCGAGTGGGTGCGGTTAAGAAGAAACAAAAGGGGGGAGAGGAGGGGAGGGTGATCGGCCAAGTGCATTTGGTTATTGAATTGATAGGTGAGTAGGAGGAGGGAGACGTTTCCTTCCTGAGTTTGGTTGACCTTAACGATCCAAGAGTCAGAAAGCGTGATCTGCTAACCAGCCCCATGCACTGCACTCAGGGCAAGACCAGTTCAACTGAATCAAGACACAAAGGACGGGAGAATGTGGAGGTCTGAGGTAGAAAATAAAGAAAGACGATCACACAAGCAGTATAAATGATAAAAGTGGCATGTCTACTGATTCATTTATTTTAAAATGGCTGATAAGGTAGAGGTAAACAAAACCAGGCTTTCGGCCCTGGTCAGTTTAGCAGATAATAGAAAAAACAAAACCTTGATATATAATAACCAGTGGAAATAAGACATATTAGTATGAGCGGTTGTATAACGTAGTATGTGGCTCAACAAAATACTACTACTAAAACAGTTTAATCCATTTCAAAAACCTTTCTCTTGAATTTCTGTTTTTGAAGGCAATAATATTCCATCCCAACTGTTTAAATATCATTTATCACTTTTGCTTGGGCCTTCATGAAAGAATGCTTCGGTTTGACAGGCATACTGTGCCTAACTATGGTTGGACAGTCACTGTGCGAGGAAGGAAGTTGACGAATGTTTAATTCCAGTAAGCATCCGACAGATAAAGTGAAAAAGACAAATGATTAAGAGCAAGATGCCAACGACATTTCAGATTTCCATCAATAGCCGTGAAAAATCGACCAACCCCAGTCTGACTCAACAATTCACAGTCTTTGTATTGCACAGTCACTCATTGTATGGCTACGGCTTCGTCTCCAACACATCTACTGACACATATCTCCACTGCTCTACGGCCACATCTGACCTTCTCTCTTCACCCTTTTGCTCCCTTCTCCACACAGTACGAGCATTGTAACAATAAAGGGTTTTTAAAGCTGACTGAGTCTCCTTCTCTGCTGCCAAACAAGAATTGACCCCTTTGGCTGTGACTCGTCTGCCATCCCCCAGGAATTTTCCGCTTGACATTCCTGGGTGCATTTTTTTTTTAGGTGATTTGGCATGAGTGGGCCGTTCTGGTGCAAGGGTGAGGACAACACTTGCGCTTTCGCTCGTGCCGTTCATTCTTTGCCAAACGCTCTGCCCGGGACTCAAGGATTTATAGCATGTTGGGGGATTGTGTCCCTGCCAAGGCTTTCCCGCAGTGATATTTATCTTTTTATCTGCCATAGTGGTCTACAGTTAATTACCAACATGTGGCATACAGAAGGAATTTCATGGCACTTTGTTTTGTGGGCTCATTTAATGATTTATGTCTCTCATAGTAGAAGCTACTTTTTTTGTTTTTCCATTTTTTTAAAATACAATTCTGGAGATTAAGATATATTGTTTTTACAAAAATGTGTAAATTGGCTGCCATTCAGTTCGCAAGTGCAAACACATCATAGAGATACCCTACTCTATATCACTGCTCATTCTTGGATTAGAACAAACTAGATGTTTCTAATATTTACAGATTATCTTTCACATACATTTTTATTGTTATTTAGATTTATGTTTTAAAGGGGCCTTATTTTACTTTTTGGAAATTAAAGCATGTCAACATGTCACACAAAATACAAATATAAACCTGAACATTATCAAATGTCCTCTTTAAAATAGGGAAACAAGAAGAAAGTTTGCCAGATTATGTAGTAAAAATATTTCACGGATTAGAATTTACAACTGATTACAAAGCGGCACCAGAAACTGAAAAAAAGGCAAACCCATAGCTGAACTGTATAACAGATAATACATGAGAATGAGAGCAGCACACAGGAAGAGGATAGGGAGCTGCAGAACAGAAAGAGATGGAGAGCAGATGCTGAGAATGAGGCCTGGTCGATAAAGGCGATGCAGTTACTCCTCTGCACTCTCGGGTTTCCTGGTTGACCTCTACGAGTGCTGATCACATTCTGCCGCAGAACACACACACACACACACACACACACACACACACACACACACACACACACACACACACACACACACACACACACACACACACGGCACCAGGTTAGCAGAAACATTTGATGGGTCACGCAAGGTAGGAGTTGAGCCAAAGGGCCTCAAGGAGAAAAGAGAAAGTGATTGATGCTGGGCCGAAATAAATCACAAATGTTCAACATCAATCAACAAAACGGGGGCAACAGCATTCTTCGTAGTCTTTACTAATCCCTTAATTTGAATTTTGGAACAACTTGAACACTTAATGTTGATGTGAAACGTCATTGGTGTCGGGCGGGTCTTGACAGCAGTCTCGGCTGTGCTCATGAGTAATAACATATTATTAAAATAAACTTGCTTGTGTCGGAAACCCCTCCTTTTCCTTTTTTGTTAAACTCCAAAGTCAGCTATTAAAGTGTATGTTGTGGAAACAGCAGCAGCACCTGTTTGAAAGAGGTATGAATGAAGAGTTTTACACAAGGCGTGGCCGCTACAGAACACACACATACACAGAAACACTCACTAAGTACAAATGACACACACACAGCTTGCATATGTGAGAGCAACAAGATCTTTCTTGATTATTACTCACATAATGCTGGCAAGTATACATGTGCCCAGGTTTCCAGTCACACTTTAATCAGTATCAAACAAACCCAGGAGGAAAATTCCAGCATTTTCCCCAACAACCAAATAATGCTTTACAATAAATACAATAAACGTTTGTTGACAGCTACAGTGGACTGAACCTGTCATTTTGACTGCTCCTTCCTTCCGTTTTTATGATCTAATGTTCAATGACAAGTTGCAGACACAATTTGACCGGTAGCACAAGTTTGCACTCCTATAATACAAAAATTGGAAAAATAAATCACTAGGTTTCTATGTGGATCCTATTTTGGTGACAGAGATTGAGTATTGTAGAAGAAAATCTCAGGTATTTATGGAGGTACACAAAAAGAAAAACTAACAATCATGCGGATAGCCATAGGTCTTTGTATTAGACGTGAAATATCCACATTATTTACTAAAGGTCTAATCCTTATTTTCTCTTATGATGCATTTTAATATAAGTGTTTTTTAGTATAAGATATGATAGAATAGTTTGAACCCATTTGAAAACCCTTAAAAATCACAAAATATGAATATACATGTTTTTCACAAGACAAAGACACATGCCAACCCACATGTTAGGCATTGAATAGGTTGTTTTGTGGCATGATGAATTACAATTACCCTATTCCATGCTTTGCAACATCCTAATTTAAATGCTTGCACTATTTATTTTGAATTTGTTGCAATTTGGAGGGCAGGACAGACAGGAAAATCCTAAATGCACATTCAGAGAAGGCAGAAAGGAAACTATGAATACATGAGAAAAACTTTAAACTTTAAATAGAGGAAAACAAGGAAACAGTCTTTTTTATTTCCATGACAATATTATTTATATGTAATGAGCTATACTGTACATGTGTGGTTTTTTCTTTAAAACGCATATGTTTATGTACACTATTTTCTGAAGTTGAAGATTATTTTGTTTGGATGGTTTTGGTGTTTTTATTGTAATAGCTAGCCTCAGAGGTGCAGTATAAGAGAGTTGTTCTTGAGCAGATCATTAAATGTGTAAACATAATAAATCTAGCGGTCCAGAAACCACTGGGCTCTCTGCAACACGAAACACGCTGAGCTCAGCAGAAGAGGGTCACTCCCCTCTAAGCCCAGACAATTCGATGTGAGAGGTTCAGTAAAGGCACTTAGGGCCCTGTTTTAACTGTTCATGTAGGGGAGGAGAGCACAGTAATGCACAGAGTAAAGCATATAGGATGTGATAAATGGTTAATGAACAAAATGAATAAAAGATATAACTGAAAAGGTTAGACAACAATGATGTTGCGTTCACTAGCAGTGGAGGGGGCTCACCAGACGCAATGAGAAAATAAATTGCATCCAAATGACCACAAGACTGATTGACAGAAAAGGAAATGCCTGATGGGAGCAAGCAATAGTGTAGCCAGGGGTAAAATGGATAGAGAGGGGATTGAATGATAAGGATGAGGAGGGGGCATTTGTGCTGGACAAAGAAGATTTCTGTCAATGAATGGTGTCTGGTTTCGAGTGAGGGGTAGAGAGAGACAAGCTATGGTGGTACTGGTGGTGTGTCTGTATGTGTCTGTGTTTGTCTTTGGGGGGGGGGATACTGAAGAGGACGGGAAGGAATTTGATATGCAGCACTTCATATTCAGAAGCCTGTCTGTATTTTCTGTTACTTACGCACTTTGTTAGCAGATAATATTGGTGTTTAAACTAAAAGTACGCATATAACATTGTTAGACTTATGAAGGAAATATTAAGAAAAATCATCTTTTAAATTCCAAGATAAAAACAAACGTCCACGATCCGATTGATTTACAAGCAGCCACTCTACCAACTAATTTTAAAATCAAATCGCCAACAATGCCTAATGGGTCCTGAGATTGCATTGAACATTTATCCAATGACTGATTGGACAGTGCTGGGCGTAGGCTTCCAATACAAACAAAGGTTCAGTTTCTTTTAGATTCTGTGTCACATGTAGAACATCTTAGTAGAGATTCTGCTGGCTGTAAATAATGTAGTGTCCTTTAAAGCTTAATAATATTTTTGAAGCTTGAATTGATTCCTCAAAGTCTTACAAAGGAGAACAGAAGTAAGGGGGGTTTGAATTAAGTTTAATGCAATAAACCCAAAGTCCTCAAAGTTCACAACATATTTTATAGTCATAGTACATTAAATAACATTACATGAAAAACATTTATGTGTTTTAGCGTGCTGCATGACCTATTAGTAAATGACATGCACTTAAAAACCACTGAAAGAGGAAATTCCTGTAGACTGAGATGTCTATGATTAACAGAAACCTTTAAAATAGAGATACTGTATGACTGCATGGACTACAAGACCTAGAAATACTGCTAACAAAACAAAACACTAATCAAGGGTCACATGTTAAATGAAACTGGGTTATGCAGTGTACATAAGCCTGCAAGGCAACATCTTTGCTGTTGGGCTTTAGAGTAACATGAAACTAAGATCATATTAAGACTTATTTTGAGTGAGAAAAAAAAAATCAATGACTGAGGTTAAGGATCAAGAAGGATGGACTTCTAACATAATAAGTTAATATGATGTTCAGCATATTGGTGTTGCCATAAAGTACTCATCACATCTTTATAATTCCTTCAGCTAAAAGCCCCACAGCCGCTCAATCATCCATCCAAATAAGCTCTCATAAAAAATGTTATCACCTCATTAGTGAGAAATGGCTTGGCGGCTCTCCCCAGATATTTACAGCCCTTGCAAGCCAACGGGATGGTTTCCTGTTGACGATGTGAGTAACTGTAAGTAAGTGACAGGCGAGGATAGGTTTCTACATCCGCGGTGAGGAGCGAACACGACTGCTTAGCTTTAATGCTGGGAGGAAAGTGGCCAGGACTGGATGGACATATAGCTCTTACCTACGTTAATGGGTCCCTGGGGAGGAAGGGAAATGACCGCGTGATGTGGGATTTAATGTGTGTGTGAGTGTGCATGTTGTATGTGTTTGGAGGCACAAGGAACATGTATGTTTACACTGGTAGAAAAGGAGTAGTAGGAGTATCAAGATCTGTCATATTTGGAGCCACATTTAATTCATCGACACAGTTCAATCATATCTTGTAGCTGAAAATATCCTGCAGCGTATCAAAGAGTCCAACAGTATGTTTCTCCATCTGCTACTGCCGATTGTAGGGCGAAGTTTAGCCTGCAGGAGATGTTTCTCTCTGTGTTGCGATTTTAAAGTCTGTGAGAAAATGTTTTCCTGTGATTTGATTATAGATGAAGTCTCTTTCAGTTTATTGTTTTTGGTGTTTAAGCTCCTAAACTTCACTGTTTTGGTTCATTTTTCACAGCTCCTACAGTTTCTGAAGATCCCCTCTTCTATTCGAACTTCACGCCCACCTATGATTACTTTTCACCCGACGACCTTCCACCAGGGGGCCCTCCGGACACCCCCATCAGTACCCCCAGCACCGCCACCTCCACCAATGGTGACTCTAAGGAGCCGATCTACCATCTGAACGACAAACTCATCCCCATCTACTGCTCTATCCTGGCCGCCGTTGTAGTCGGCCTCGTGGCCTTCATCATCTTTAAGAGGTGAGGAAAAAGCACAGAGTAAGACAAAAGATGCTTCATGATACCTGACGACCACTGAAGGATTACCATATAGTCATTCTGAGTTGCGCTTCATTTCAGACATAGTCTTGTGTAGGCCTGTCTCTGCGGTGGAGAACCCCTGGTCTAGTGCCCAAAACAATACATAATCATGATGCTTTGATGTCTTTGGTTTGAATAATTTTAGCAACATCATATCATTTTCTTAAGTAATACGAGGGAAATGTCCCTGTTTTGATACACCCTCACTGCTCTCATTATATTAGTTTGTCGCTGTAGCAAGCAGCTGTTCGCAAGAAAGCTAAAAACAAATCAAAACATGACCAGCACCCAATGGGCAAAGTTAGCCACTAGCTGGAGAACACCATAGAGCTATCAGCATTTGAAGAGCCAGATATATCCCCAAAGAGAGTAAATCAAAGATGTTTGGAGGGCCAGAAACATGACTTAATAATATAAATCTTTTATTTCATCTTCTCGTCTTATTCCCTTTGCTCAGGTGGAACAGCTGTAAGCAGAACAAGCAAGGAGCAAACAACTGCACAGCCAACCAGAACCAGACCCCGTCCCCGGAGGGAGAGAAGCTGCACAGCGACAGCGGCATCTCTGTGGACAGCCAGAGTCTGCAGGAGCAGCAGGGCCAGACTCAGGCTCAGACAGGTACACACTACCTGTACCCAAACAGAGGAGACTACCTTCTTAAAAATAAATACAATAGTAGTCATTAATCGAACAATCACGCTTAAATGCTCAAATAGGTAAGTGTTTATTTGGCGCTGAATACTGTGGTAATGAGTTTCTTCTAATCCACAATAAGTCTGATGGGTTTTCTGTGAATGTACACACCCTGAACTTTTCCCTCCTCAACAGTAAAGAATTTAAAGCGTTTGCTAGCTTCACTGTGAATACGACCTTTCAAACGTACTGTAGCAAATCAACAAACACGGATTACAACACTGACAGCCAAAGGGTTTGTTTTTTTGGCAACACCTGGCCGTTTCCTGTCCTGTCCTGACAAACCAGTTTGAGAGAATTCAAGACTTTTAAAACCACATGCTTACCTAGATGATGGTAAAGAAAGAAAACAATGTGGCGCAAGCATGAGAAAAAAGGCAAACAGCAGTGCTCTCTCTCAGTTTGCACAGTATTTTAAAGTGGAAATATTTGGTCTTGATACGGTGGGTGAAGCAAGCAGGACCCAAATACAGATTACACTGATATTGCCTTTATTTCAAGGATAAAATAATAACTTGGACAAAACAGAACACTCACCGGTGAACTCAGTCACAAACAAAACACGAACCAACACTGAACACAGGAAGAGACAAGACTAAATACAGGGAGGGGTAATCACAAGACGAGAAACAGCTGGGCAGGGGAGGAGAAACACAAGGGCGACAGGTGAACACAATCAGACAATTAGACACACCAGGGAAACTAACGACAGGGGAAAAACACAGGGAGAAGGACCAGACAATATACAAGGAGGAAAACACCCATAACCAGAGACATACAAAACTACAACCGTGACATAACATGAGCATCCTGACAGACCCCCTCCCATCCCTATAATGACAATAAAGGTACTGTGTATTCTTCTATTCTATCCCTCCATCTGCCTCCTCTCCCTCCTGCCTTCAGGGTTCCCCAGCCTGAGGTGGAGCTCCAACAGACTCAAAACCAGCATTTTTTTCCCCACC